CAATGAAACCGTAAGATGCCTCAACTGACAAAGTTCGATGATTCCAAGCCAATAAGTACCAGATATAATTAAATATAGGCATAAAATGTCAAAAGTATCAACTGACAAAGTTTTATGATTTTAGGTCAATAAGTACCAGAAATACTTAATTATAGCCACAAAATGTCAAAAGTAGGTCACCATGACCTTCCTTTTGGTCGTCACTCTCCCAAAACCCAAGATGCATCAACTGACAAAGTTTGATTATTCTTAGTCAATAATTGCCTGAGATACTTAAATATAGCTATAAAATGTCAAAAGTAGGTCACTTTGACCTACTTTTTGGTCAACAATCTCCGAAAAACCAAGATGCATCAACTCACAAAGTTTGATGACTCTAAGCCAATAAATACAGAGATACTTCAATAAAGCCATAAATGTCAAAAGTAGGTCACAGTGACCTACTTTTTGGTCATCACTCCCTAAAAAGTAAATATGCATCCACTCACAAAGTTTGATGATTCTAAGCCAAATAATACCTAAGATACTTAAATATAGCCATTAAATGTCGAAAGTAGGTCATCGTGACCTACATTTTGGACATTTTTCAAAGACCCAAGATGCATCTACTGACCAAGTTTGATGATTGTAGGTCTGAAGGTAATCAAATCATACATTTTAAACAATTTGAAAACAAATGTCGGCAAAATTCAAAAGGAAGGTCACAGTGACCTACTTTTTTATAAATATTTTTCAATATCCCTAGATGCATCAAAGTACAAGATTTGATGATTCTAAACCTCCCAGTGTCTGAAATAATGGGATTTAATGTTTTTAAATGGATAAGTCATTAAGTTCAAAAAGCAGGTCACAGTGACCTACTTTTAAATTGACATTGTTCGAGGACCCAAGATGCAACAACTGACAAAATTGGATGATCATAGGCCCTAAAGTGTCCAAAATATGCCTTAAAATCAATTTGAAAACAAGTTATAGTCCATATTCTGAAAAGTTTACACACACTGCACAAATGGCCTTTGGCTCAGAAGAGCTAAAAATGAATGTGGGCGACAAAGGTGAGGATAGTCCCTGCATCAAAATTTCAAAAAAAGTTGTTTTAAATAAATAAGTACTTAAAATTAAAAATCGCAGTAATTCCGTTTTCATATATTTTATTTAGTTTTATAAATGAAATTTATTGAGATAAAGGACAGTATTCAAGGTAAAAACAATATAAATCGGAGCAGAGCAAACATGATGAACCTCCGAAAAATGAGAGGTCTGATCAGATACCATGGAGGAGTAAGTATCCACTGTAGACCGGTCATTGAGTATCTCGTGGAAATTACTGTAGAAGTACTTTTTTGCGCGAGGTATAAAATTACGCTATCTTACGGTCATAAATTTTCCGCGGAAATTTGTCCAAGCATACTTTATATAAATGTAAGGCATATGGTGACAGTCAAGAAAATCCGCGTAATTTTCAACTCGCGGATTAAACAAAAATTGAGATTCCGCGGTATTATGACCCCGCAGTAAAAAGTACGTCTACAGTACATGATTCAATGATGGAAAATGAACATTAAATCAAACTTAAACTTTCAAAAACATGCAACTGAGTATTTTAGTGAAATTCAATGATCGATTCAATGATGGAAAATAAACATTCAATTAAACTTAAATTTCAAAAACTGAATCTGATTCTATTCTTTAAGAAAATGAATACTTCTTTATAACACACATTTCTACAGACAGGCTGACTGAAAGAAAGGCCACAGCGCTAACCAGTTAAATTGGCAGGTTGTCTAACAGTTATTTCATAACCCAAATTCATCAATTAGCAAAGTAGATGGATTTAAGTGGTTTGTATCCCAAAAATAGCGTTTTCAGTATGCTATTCTAAAAAGGTCGTCGTGACCTACTTATTGTGTGAACTCTTTAAGGACCCGAAAAATATGGAATGACAAAGTTTGATGATTCAAAGTGTCTTAGAATTCAAGTTGGATACAAATATTAAAAGTACTAAATCTAGTTTGCCTCTGCAACTCGCTTTTTGGTTGACATGCTTTGAGAACCCAAGGTGCATCAACTGACAAACATGATGATTCTAGTCAATGTTTGTTTTGTCTATATCACTATTAAGACAAAACCTTGAAATATCAAAAGAAGGTCACCAGTACAAAATGTCATTATTTATTTGATGAAAACCAAACTGTAAGACTTGTACACCAACAATTTTATCATTATATTAACAAGTACATAAATGTAGACAAAATTACTCATATATACAAATCAACAGGAATTAAAAACAAACCAGAAGTCTCTGTTGAGACTGTAGCTCTACTGGTTTGTACTTATCAAAAACCATTGCACTATTTTATGTATCTTTGTGTAGTCTACTTGTGTGCCAACTTATTTTGAAATCAGACAAAAACTGTAGAAGGAGTAGCGTTTTTAAAGAATTCCATAGAAAATTCTATTTTGAGTAACCATAGCAATACCGTTCATCGAAATCAAAAACCGATGCACTATTCTATGTATCTTAGTGTAGTCTACTTGTGTGCCAAGTAATATTGAAATCAGACCAAAACTGTAGAAGGAGTAGAGTTTTAAAGGAATTTCACAGAAAATTCTATTTTTAGTAACCATGGCAACACCGTTCATCGAAATCAAAAACCGATGGACAATTCAATGTATCTAAGTGTAGTCTACTTGTGTACCAAGTTATATTGAAATCAGACAAAAACTGTAGAAGGAGTAGCGTTTTTAAGGAATTTTACAGAAAATTCTATTTTTAGTAACCATGGCAACACCGTTCATCGAAATAAAAAACCGATGCACTATTCTATGTATCTTAGTGTAGTCTACTTGTGTGCCAAGTTATACTGAAATCAGACCAAAACTGTAGAAGGAGTAGCGTTTTAAAGGAATTTCACAGAAAATTCTATTTTTAGTAACCATGGCAACACCGTTCATCAAAATCAGAAATCAATGCACTATTCTATGTATCTTAGTGTAGTCTACTTGTCTGCCAAGTTATATTGAAATCAGACAAAAACTGTAGAAGGAGTAGCGGTTTGAAAGGAATTTCACAGAAATTTCTATTTTTAGTAACCATGGCAACACTGTTCATCGAAATCAAAAACCGATGCACTATTCTATGTATCTTAGTGTAGTCTACTTGTGTGCCAAGTTATACTGAAATCAAACTAAAATTGTAGGAGGAGTAGCGTTTTGAAAAATTGTTTACAGACGGACAGACAGACAGACGGACGGACGCCGGAGGCATTACTATGGCATAAGCTCCTCTGGTCTCTGACCAGTAGAGCTAAAAACCTACTTTCTAAGGCTTAATTTTATCAAGAAAATATATGGATATAATTAAATCAAAAGGCGCCTCCTTTTTCTCTAAAGTCAAATTAATCTCATAAGGGCACAGTGTTAGTCGTAAAGAAATAATCAGTTATGGCTGTATCTTTTCCCTCCAATATTCAGCTGATTCAAACTTTTACTCTGAACCCATGCTTCAAAATTATTACTTTTTAATTTCCTTTACAATTTTCATAAATTCTCTTTAAAAAAATCTTTAAAGTTTGGCATCGCCATCACACTCTTCTCAAATGTGGCCTCTTGTTCTGTAGCATACGTTCTTCATAAGGATGTTTATGTATGTTTGAAAGTTACCCTTATCAATTGCTGTTTTCAACAAGTGCAATGCTTTTTCACATCTAGAGAAGTTTTGTGGCCTCCCTGCCATTGTTTGAGTCTCTGTACAAACCTTGAATTCATCTTTCAAAATTAAAACTTTCTTCGTGTTTAAATTTTATGACCCTTTCAAACTTTTTACTAAAATGTTCTCGGAAACAAAAACAATTTTTTGCAGATTAAATGGAAAATAAAAGAGACGTCACTCATTTCAATTACCACTCCTTTTCAAATATCCTGGAATAATATTTTTCCCAACAGTATGGTTTTTGATTATACTTTTCAAGTGTTTTTCGCCATTTTCTTTCCACACTGATAAAATGTTCACTTCTTAACAAAAATCCATGTGTATCTCCAATCGTGTCTTCAAATGATACTTTTCCACGAACATCACTGTGTTCTTCTCCTTAACATCAGTTCACAAAGGCTTATGTCCCTGGATGTTGTCCTTTTGCGTTTCTGAAATGTTTTTATTGACTGGATTGAATTCTTTCCCAGGTACAATATGCTTTTAATTCAAGAAATCTGGTAGATATCTTTTCAAAAACATAACATTTAATATATTCTTTCACCAGTACAGGTTCAAGTGTGTTTTTCGTAAGCTATCCAGTCGGTTGAAGCTTTTTTCAGTAACATTTATCAGATTTATCACCAAGACTGTTCTTTCAGGCACTTCTGTCTGGAATCCAAATAATAAAGCAAAACCTTCAAATACATATTTACAAGAACATTAGATTCCTTATAATTATTCATAAATGATCTTGTCACGCATGTGCTGACAGACTCGTATCTCCTATAAGCTAAACATTTAATTAGTAAATGTTTGTGAAATGCCTTCTTAGACATATCACATTGACAGAGTTTCTCACCTCAACGTCTCCTCAACTGTCATGGTTTTCAGAGCGGTTATTTGTATGTGTCTTCTTGTGTGTCAGTAAGACATACGATCGATTAAATCTCTTCCCACACACTTCACATTTATAAGGTTTTTCACCTGTATGTATCCTCATGTGTATCTTTAAGGAACTTGATCGGTTGAATGCATTTCCACAAAGAACACATTTATGACGTTTTTCACCAGTATGTATCATCTTGTGTAATCTTAACCGTTCTGGTTGTCTGAAATTCTTGCCACATGTAATACATTTATGGGGTTTTTCACCTGTATGTATCCTCATATGTAGCTTCAGTCTATAAGACCTGATAAATGCCTTTCCGCAAACATCACATTTATGAGGTCTTTCACCTGTATGTGTCTTAATGTGGTCATGTAAGAAAACTAATTCTAAAAATGCTTTCCCACACATATCACAGAGATACCGCTTTTCACCTGTATGTATCTTTCTGTGTCTCTTTTAGGAATGTAAGAATGTGAACGCTTTTCCACACAAATGACATTTATAGCGTCTATGACCTAAGTCAATCCCTCTGCGTCTCCTTGACTGCCCTGAATGGTTGAGTACTTCCCCACATACATCATATCTATAGGCTTTATTATCTGTAGGTGTCCTTGTGTGTCTTTGCAATGTTGTTTTATGACTGCGGGCTTTTTCACACACTTTACCTTTCTGACCTTTTTTGTGTATGTGTGTTTTCATGTGTCTCTCCACGCAAGTGTCAATCTTTCCATGAACTTTGGATGTACACGACTTTTGTCCATTAGGAATCCTCCTCAACTTGTTTAACTGTCCAATTTTAGGATTTAAGTTCTTTCCAGTAGATTCCTTTGATGTGTTATTACACTGAAGTTTTCTACCATGTTCTAATTTAGAATGTTCAGTGAAAGGTTCCAGACACATGTTACAATTATAAATCTCCACACGTGTGTGATCCTCATGTGTCCCTCCATACAAGGGACAATTTTCCCGCACAAGTCACAGAGACAGGATCCTCTTACTGTTTCATCAAATTTCCCAATTTCATCACATACAATCCTGCACATATCAACAAATGGGTTCTTACAATGATGTGTTTTCTTGTGTCTTTCCAGTTCATTTTTCTCATTGAAGGTCATCTGACATACATCACATTTTAAAAGTTTCTCACAAATCTGTCTCTTTCTGTGCTTCTCTGAGTAATGTTTTTGACCCAAGGACTTTCCATTTTCATCACAGTCTAAATAGTTTTCACCAGTGTCCACAGTCAGGTGTTTCTTCAAACATTCTTTTTCAGCAGAGGTTACAAGACTTGTACCAGCATGCTTCTTCATATGTCCCAACAAATGCCCTCTTTCACAAAATGCTTTTTCACACACTAAACATTTATAAGGTTTCTTACTTGTATGTATCTTCTTGTGTCTCTGTAAATTTACCGATTTACTAAATACTTTCCCACAAACATTACAATGATATGGAGCTTTACCCTGATGTGTGCTTGGTCCTTCTATGTTGTGTGACTGGCCATCTAAATCTTTATCATTGAAAAGTTTCTCAACTCTATGTGGCCTTGGGCCTTTCAAAGAGTCTGATGCCTGATGGGAACTCCTTTGTTTTTCACATTTGTGTGTCACCAAATGTATCTTCAAATCTGATTTTTCTGTGATTTTCCTCAGCCTCACGAAACACTCATAATTTTTCTCACTAGCATGTACCTTCAGATGGCACTTTAGTTGTTCTGTGGTAGAGAATGCTCTTCCACAAACATCACATTTAAATGGTTGTTCAGCAGTGTGGCTCCTTATATGACATCGTAAGTTATCTTCTCGGGTGAAAGCTTTTCCACACACTCCACACTTATGTTGTTTATTACCTGTATGGGTCTTCATGTGTCTTCTTAGGTGTTCTTGAAATTTAAAAGCTATCTTACAGAGGTCACATTTATAAGGTCTTTCATCTGTATGTGCCCGCAGGTGTCTCTGTAAATAGTATTTTCCAACAAAAGCCTTCCCACACACATTGCATTTAAGTAGTTTATCACCTGTATGCTTCCCCATGTGTTTTTCTCGACTTCCTGGAAATTTGAAAAGCATCCCACAGACAACACATTTATAAGGTTTATCATCTGTATGTGTCCTAAGGTGACTTTGTAAATGGTATTTCCTAATAAATGCCTTTCCACACACATTACATTTATAAGGTTTCTCACCTGTGTGTATCCTCAGATGACTCTGTAAGGAGGATTTCTGGATGAATGTATTCCCACACACATCACATTGATAAGGTTTTTCACGTGTGTGTATCCTAATGTGACTTTTTAGAGTATCTGAGGCTGTGAATTTCTTTCTACACACATCACATTGATAATGTTTTTCCCCTGTATGTACCCTCATGTGTCTCTGTATGCAATCAGAGCGAATCAGTGTTTTCCCACATTTAAAAGTCTTTTTCCTTTGATGAGTGTTGATCTGCTTCTTTAACTTCTTTCTCTTATCACCATATTTTTTCATTTTTTCGCTTTTACTTTAAATGAGCGGTAACTTTTCAGCATTATATTTATTGAGTGATCTGGATGAAAGAGTAGTCTTTTATCCCTGAAAAAGTAACGAAACAACTTCTTAAGTTCTATCATCCATACATTGACCTTGTCAGCAAATAAAATATTTAATCAATGATTATTAAGTCAAATTCGTACTGAAGTTTTTTTTATACTGCTTACTTTGCCATCATTCAAACACTGAATTGAGGTATATTTTTCTGTTTTTTCTCATTTTGATAATTTGAATTTCTCTTCACCTAAGTATGCTTAGTACCAAGTTTGGTCAAAATTGGCCCAGTGGTTTTTGACAAGAAGTCGAAAATGTGAAAAGTTTACAGGACAGCTAGACGGACGGACAGACGGACAACGGACAAATTGTGAACAGGAAAGCTCACTTGAGCTTTCAGCTCAGGTGAGCTAAAAACTTGTTGTATGATTTTACTGGTATGTTTATGTCAACCATTTGAAATGAATGAACCAGCAGTGAGCAAATCATCACCTTTTTTAGCCTGTCGAGCAAATAAGCCACGCCCTCATATTTACCTGATCTGTATACCCACCATCAATTTCGTGCTCCATGATCCATCATCATGTACTTGAATTTGATTGACACATAGCTGTGTGTAATTATAACTTGTAGTTCTCCAAGTAGAGCCTAAATTATCAGACTATTTAACTTTTACAGTAGGTCAGACCTACCATCTGAATCAAGTCTGGTTATGTCCATGCCTAGATGCATCTTACATGGTGTAGGTAAGACTTAGAGGTACATGTACTTGGGAAATTGCTTGATTCTAAACACTTATCTGGGATTCATTTAAAGCCAAAGCCTGTGCTGACACTGTGCTCTGCTCAATCATTTAAAATATTGTTTGAACCTAAATGATTTTCCAAAAGATATGTACAGTTAATTCTCTATAAACCGCCACCTTTCGTAATTTAGAAATCATGGCGGTATAACGAATTTGGCGATGAATTGAATTTCCCATTTTTTATGATCAAGAAGTAGTTATCATTCTTTGAAATACCATTTAGCGTTTCTATTCTAAATATTACATGTATATAAAAAAATATTTCTAAATTTGAAACTAGATGCTGTCATGAGACAGTAATGCCGCACTAAGGTGTTTGCCTCTAAATACACAATCGTACAGGCGGCTTACCAAGGAAAAAGTCAAAATAATTCTATATAATTCAGGCACGTAGCATAATTTTTGAAAGGGGGGTGGGGTGGGGGCCAACCTGAGAATTTTTTTTACTTACCTGAAAAAATTAACAAGGAAAAAAACATGAAATGGGGGGGGGGGGGGTGGGTGGGGGTGGGGGGGTAGTGGCCACCTTTTTTTCAAGGCATAATTACTTTCACAATTTTTTCTCCTTATTTCCGTGCAATGTATATACTGTGGTAAAAAGTTTCGGGGGGGGGGGCAACCATCTTTTAAATGGACATTTTCTTATAGTACAGGTAATGTTGGAAAAAAAGGGGGGGAGCCCCAGTACATACTTTTGGGAATAGGCTATATGGAACAGTTTTGTTAAAACATTGTTTGTTATAAATTAATTTAAAATTTGTTCTTGACATGTAAATTCTACATCACATCACGTTGCGTCACCCATTATCATATTTTTAGATTAAATTCCATTCGGTACACCTCGGCCGATTCCCACTTCATCTGATAAGGTGACGGAATCGACGGCGTGGAGGGTTCCGAATGGAATAGCATAATAACATGCTGCAGAATGGTGTGCACTGGATTGATTCATTTTGTGTTATAATTGGATTTATATTTCATGAAGTTTACAAGTTAACCACATACACCTGTGGCGGTATATATCGAGATAATTGACACATAAAAATGGACATTTGTTCTGAAAACAGGGTGGAGGATGGCGGCATGCAATTGGCGTTATAAAGAGAATTTTATACAGCTGGATAAATGTTCTTGGTAAATCATGGCGGTATTGGGAAAATAGCAATGAATTGAATGGCGTTAATTCGAGAATTGACTGTATCTTATAAGTAAAATACAAACAATTTTAGCCTAGCTGTGGGGAAAAAAAGGACCAAAAAAATACACTTCAACTAGGTAACTCTGATATGTCATTAAGAGTTATCTCTCTTATTAGAGAACAAACCTTAAGTGCTTATACAACATAACCTTATATAATTATAGCTTCTGATAAATGTTTTGTTAACTTCTGAATTTTGTATATTAAGATAAATTAGATGAAATGGATTAAGGTCAGACGACACGTTCCTCAAATATATGTTTTGTATCTCTTGGTATTTTATTACTTTTTTTCAAATGTGTCATTTTCTTCTAATTTCTTCATTGTTTTCAAAATGTTTCTAAATATAAGTACACCAAAAATTTTGTTAAAGGCCATTTAGAAGATTATCCATAAAGGTTAAATATGAAATATGACCCTATGGTACCTTGGCGAAATGCCTGGTTAGGTACCTAAATTTTTGTGAGGAAACTTGTGTAAGTATCTATACTTCAATGACAAATTCTTAGGAAAAACTATTTTTGTGGGACATGTCGTCTAACCTTGAAGGAAATAATTTCTGAAATTTTATATCTTCCAGTATTTCCCAGTTTGGATAAAATTTGCAATATTTACTGGGACGGAAATAGCGATATTTACCCCAGGTAATTCCCACCACCCTGCCTATAAAGGATTTATACATACATGTACCTTCATTATTTTCTGATGTTAGTATTCTTCTTTCCTATCCATAGGGTCAGAATTCTGTAATGGTTGTTTCTTTCCTAAAATGACACATATACAAGGTAGAGTTAATACGCTATTTTAAAATTATTTTTTTGTGCATCATAATATGTTAAATTTTAAGAAAGCATACAAATTCATTTAGATGATCAATCAATGCACTGTGATTCTTGAAAAAAAAATTCTCTCTTATATATTACTTTGTTAAACTTTAATCACCCATTTTGGCCCCTAATCCTGGGGTCATCATATGAATAAATCTGAATCTGCACAACATGAAATACAAAAACATGGCATTTTACCTCAGAAATTTTTAAAACATTTTTCTTGTGTTTTACTTTGTAAAACCTTGGTTATTCTTTGTGACCTTAACCAAACTTGGAATGTCATGGTTTTTAAAAGTTTGAATCTGCATGATGATGCTTTTATAAGTTTCATGTGACAGCAAAACCTGGTTATAACAAACACATTGGGACCTATGAAATTACTTCTCTTTATCTGTAATTTGTTATATCTATATACGAATTTCATTAAATTTATATAGCTGGGGATCCAAGATGACTTTTCTACATCAGTGAATGTGCAATATCCATGTTTGCACTAAACATGCTTTCCTTATCTCGTGCACTTGATCTTGAACATGTTGAGAAAAGGATTTTAAAATATTCTTTGAATTATTTTACTTTTTCATAACTACTATCTTCCCTGTGAAGAAAGCATGGCCCTTCATTTGAACAAACACAATAAGTTACCTCTCTTTGCTATTACTTACTTTTCCCCAGCATTAGTAACTCATGCATCAGCCATGTTATCTTTTCAAAATATTTCGAACAAAATAAAAACTTGATAAGTTATTTTGGGTCATTCCTCCCTAACTTCACATCATGAGTACCAAAAGGTTTTTTCCTGTGCACCAGTACAAAAACAAAGGTTTGATTAAATTTAAACCATGCTCAATCAAAAAAAAAAAGTGTTCAAATTAAGTCTTGTGAAAATTGGGAAAAATTGCTTAAATTTCTTTTTTAATGCTAGAATTTTTACAAAAAAAACATTTAAAAAAACACAAAATAAAGGAGTTAAATGCTGTTAATCTCCATCTCCTCACTGATTCTCCATTGGAGTCAGTGCACTCCATCTAGTATAACGTAAAATCCATCTGTGACGTCATTCTTTTGTTTGAGCGCTTCATTACTTTTAAGGAATAGAGATTTGCAAATTACACAAAAAACGGAATTTTTTATGGTTTTATTCTCCTTTCTATGCCTCTACCAAGGAGAGAACTTAGAAAATTTTAGGGAAGAGTTTTAGAAAATTTTTAAGGTTAGTTTCACATTAAGAAAATTATAGCACTTTTGATGAGAAGTGAACCCAGTACCCTCACCATAGCAGTCCGATGCTCATTTCACTTAGCAAACAAAGCTGTTGAGAGATATGGGTTTAGAATAAATTCAGTACACTTTTTTTTAGTTTTTCTTTCTATATTAGTCTGTGTGAATTTCATTTGGGGGTCAGAGGTCATAGCACGACTGGATCACAGAGCGATGCGATATTTTGACCAAACAGCTTCTAGGTCATTGCGCGTCACTACATAGCAATACATTAATTGGCCCGTTCATGTAATGAATACAAGGCCATCCTTAATTTTTTTTTTTTGCAGTAACGCGCCTCATCATTTTAGGTGTGGGTAGGTAGGTAGACTTATTATTTTTTTTTGGAGACAAAAAGTCGAAATTAAATTTCAATAATATAGAGGTATTAACTATGTCTTAGATTTCACTTTAAGTTACTTAGAATCAAACAAGAAAATTAAGGCATTCTTAATGAATCCAATCTTTTATTGTTCAAATATCAGACACATCAGTTCTTTTTTAAAAACGGTGTCTACAGGTGCAATGGGGATGTAAAAAAATGTCAATAGTTTAAATTAGAAAATGGATATGTATAAAAAAAAAAAAAAGTGAACCCATAAAAAAAATCCAGTAGGGTGGATTTTGGTGAGTCGGTCGCGTTACCGCAAAAAAACATTTTTTTAAGGATGGCCCAATTTAACTCAAAATGTATTCGTTTCAAATGTTGATATAAGTATTAAACAACAATGTTAAAATGTTCACCGGGAAATGAACTTTTAGTTGGTCACATGATCAAATCTACTGAGAAACCATTCAGGCTTCACAGGATTTGATCACGTGACCAACTAAAAGTTCATTTCCCAGAGAACCCTTTAACATTGTTGTTTAT